AGAGAGAGACTGCAATTCAATTCCAAAAGCTTCAAAGAATGAGAAAGAGTAGAGTTGTTTTGTTTTACTTACTTCTTTTGCTCGCGCTGCCGATGCGTATAGCTGGTGGTTTTTAAAGTCTTCGTCTGCTGTTTGTTTGCATAAATTGCACCAACGAGTTCCTGGACAATACCCTTGTATGTTTGATCCAACATCATCAAATACAGCGTAAAATCTTTGTGGTATTTTGTTCGCATTTAGTCTTGAGTGCTTGAAATAGTCTTGTTTTGGACAAGCACATCGTAGGTTTTCCCTCCGTGCGACATCCCAATGGTACCGACAAAGCCGGGAATTTATAGGCAACCGTGTTACCCTACTTATCTCCGAATTCACCGTGTACAGTCTGCCTTGGCAAGCCCTTCCTGTTCTTGTTTTTTCAGCCCTCATGCATATACCAGTCTTGTTTGAACCATGTATTAAGACTACCACTCGTAAAAACAACAACACGAAAGTAGCGATAGCAGTACTCGACGGCACGCGACCCACTTTACCCTTCAYTTTCACCTTTGGTGCAAACGTAAAACTATGTGGTGCAAAAAGTATGTTATTGTAAATATGACACTCYAGCTACTCTGAGAATTTCTMGYTCGGCTTTGCTTTATTCGCTTCGGCTTTTTGAATTTCGCGCTATGGCAGCAAGGTTTGTTTACAAAACAAATAATATTTTAGCGCATGCGCATTGCGTTTTGCAGCGGTGTCTATGTATCCCAAAAATTCCTTTCGGTCTTAAAATAACCTATCGCCTATTTTTTCCCCGTCTTGCTCAGACAATCTTCTTGTGCACTGGTGTATATGAGTGGACCACGATTCTGTCGAGGAGTGCGTGCTTTTTTATTGTATGTGTATATGTGTTTATAGATTAAAATAGTTTAGATACGTACTGATTGTATTTTCGTCCTGTATACGTAGCTGGTATGTACGTGTCAAAGCACAACCAATCAGTGACCAAAAACAACAACACTTGGACAAACGTACTCCAGATACGACACATCACCAAGGACGACGATGGCAAATACGAGTGTCGTGTTCTAAACAGAGGAAACGATTTTAGGAGTGGGTTCTGGCCTGCATTTGCAGTAGTATTCGTTTCAGGTATTCAGGTATCTTTTCTTTTTTTCATTCGACTCCATCCCTTCCCATCCAATCCATTCCAATCACGTTCAATCCATCCCAGCCCCATCCAATCCATCCCAGTCACATTCAATCCTTCTCAGCCCCATCCTATCCATCTCAGCACATCCAATCCATCTCAGTTCCATTCAATCCATCCCAGTCACATCCAATCCATCTCAGTCACATCCAATCCATTCAATATATCCAAGGAATATATCTTAAGTTACAAGACTAATTACTAGGTTTACATCTTTTTAGATTCTTCATGTGTGACATTGAACGGATCGTTTCCCGACCCAGCGGATAAAGCAGGTTATATAAAATGCACGAATGGCAAGGCGGCAAGAAAGGAATGCCCTCAAAACACGACATGGAACGATGACAAAAAGATATGCGAGAAACCAGGTAAATTTAAATTTGTCACTAGACGACATTTTGCTCTTTGAGTAAGTCTTCTTAATCTTATACAATTTATCAAATTATGAATACCAATAATGACGAACACGATAGAAATCAGTCACACAGGAGACTACTCCATAAATCGGATACAAAATCGTTAGAAGAAATCTGTGCCTGGAAATTGTGTACAGAATAAATTTCGCGGTCAAACTCATTTCAATATCAAAAACTGTGGTATAAAAAACATGCAGTAAATAAGAGAGTGCGTATAACTGAATTACCATTTCTTGTATTGATTTGTCAGTATTTAGACTTGATTGGATACACCGTCCGGTAGTTTTACCCTTCATGGACAAGAAAGTAGGCACGTCACTCACCGTGGACTGTAGATTGTCAGACCCGACTGTAGAGGTTTCTTTGTACCAGAAAGATACCTATTCCAGGCGACGATACCCCGATGGCTGTAAGGTGACTTACTCGCGTCAGGTCTTCACTGTTCACGCCTTGGTAATCCTGGATGTTGGATCGTATTATTGTAGAGCAGAGAATGTCACTGAAAAGGAGGAGGTCTTTCTTAAGGTTGATCCAGGTATGTCCTGTATATATTATTTAAAATATTCCATACATTGTAATAAATAATGATTCATTCCAAGGTTGAGGAAAACTGGGTCGAGTTGGCATTGCGCAATGCATTGTGGCTCTGTTGTAGGAACATTCTCGACCCAGCTTTTTCCTCAACCTTTGTGAAATAATTTAAAATTCCTGCTAAAAGTTTGCTTTTACTTTTTTGAGATGCCATGCGCAGTAGATATAATATGCGTTACCGAAGATTTCTCAAAACGCGTCCCACACGGTAAAGAGTGACCATGGATCCTAACCCATCGATGACACAAACAACATATCGGTCTGCTGGTCATAGCAAAGGGTTAATCATCTACGGTCTAGGGGCCGACTAACCTCTCCCTTAGGCTTCGGCCGAGCTTCCTGATCAGTCTGTAAATCCCGGATAGCGGTGTCGGGGTCGAAATCTCCGGCGTAGCCGTAAATGCTTCGCGCTGCCATACGACGGTTCAGCACTCGATGTCTGGAAGTATGGTCCTATAAATTATAACTCAAACAACAAAAATAAAAATCTTAAAAATAATTTAAATAAATAGTCTCCCCAAACGATAACGGAGGAATTAAACTTTGGAAAATACAAGAGTAATCCTATATGCGCATGCGCATATTCTGACCTATCCAAATACTGGTCTATTTAAAGACGGTCTTATGTTAACAATAAAATACTTGCTAATATTAAAGGTCCATCGATCTGGTATGGTCAAGGGGACATTAATTTCATCACAGCTCTAGGAAGCTCAATCGATTTTGAATGCAAAGCTTCCATCATGCCCGAGTCCAACACGTTCCTTGAGCTGAGCACATCGTACAGAATCACCACGCTGGTCCCCGATGGCAAGAAGGTCATCAAACGAGGAAACACGTTTAAAATCCGTGGGGTTGATCGCGACCAGGCTGGAAACGTGTACTGTAAAACCACGTCATCGTGTGGTGGACAGGCCGAGGGATACAAGATTGGAAGGTTGATTCCTGTTAGGCAACCTAAAGGTAAGATTAATATTAAGGAAATTCAACGTCCTGCATGATAGCGATCATTAGAACTGTATTGCTGTCTTGGTGTCGAACCCTGGGGTGATCAAAGTCAGCATGGCTAACGCACAGATCGAATTGGAATTTGAAAGTTGGTTTTTGAGGAGCGAGGAAAACCGGAAACACGGAAAAACACCCTCGAAACTAACTCAGGAGAGAACCAACAAACTCTACTCACAAATGTTGCCAGGAATCAAACGCGAGACGTAGCCAAAAGGAGAAAGATACGTGCACTACTGCTATGAACCCATGTAAATGTATGATGTTTCATTATCTTCTTTTTGTTTTTCATTTTTACACCAGGTATGACACCAAATCCCAGCATAAAACCAACCAAACAGGCACTTGATCTTGGACAAAATAAGTCTATTATATTCAATTGTTCCGTTGGTAATACCAAGGCAGCGTCTTTCTCCTGGTTTCTGGACGACGAGCAAATAAGTGACGAGCATGTTTATGTCTCAAGCAACAAAACATACAGTTATCTTACCGTAAGCGACAAAACCCTTACAAGAGCAATTCAAGGTGGTGCTGTTATGGATGTGGAGTGTCGAGTAACCAGCAATGGTGCAGGCTATTGGTTCGCTACTGCTGAACTAGTGATTGGACGTAGGTTTTGTTTGTGTATTTGAAATAGTCCCCTTCACAGTTCCCTGCGCCATCTTGAAATGTAGCCGTGGCTTTGCATCGAATAGTCCCCTTCACGGTCCCCTGCGCCATCTTGAAATGTAGCCGTGGCTTTG